TTTTGAGCTTAGCACTCTACGATTATGCTCCAAACATGCACAACTTACGCCAAAAATCTACGACTTTCTGTTTTGAGGACATAGTCACTGATGGCATTACCCAGTGACAACGTTCGGATCCATAGTGTTATGACCGAATGCAGCGCATACAATTCGCAACGTGTATGTGATCGGGATTCATTCTGATGATAACGCTGCCTAAGTTTAAAGTTTTCTGCACGCTCCCGGAAAAAATATAATCAGGGAGCTATTTTGTTGAACCGAATTGTTAGAACACAACGTTGTGATTGCAACCGGGTGTTTGCCCCCCCCCCCCCTCCCCGTCACTAATAACTCCTACGCCGCTGCCGAGCCCAGATCAAACGGTTCCTCGCCCCCCCCCCCCCCCCACCAGGCCACGAAACGCCACGGTGGCAGCTCTTCGCGTCCGGCCGTCGGCCAGGTCAGCAAGCCGGGCAAGCTGGCCCGCCGCGTCGTCTGTCCGACCGGCCGGGCGCCGTGCGTCTGGCGGTGGCGTTGGCTGCGTGGCGCGCTGACCAAAATGTGGAGCGTCATCCGGCCGGCCCGCTCCAGTCACAGCCAACCGTCAGCTGGGGCTGGCGTCGGAGCCTCGAGTCAGCCCCGACCTGACCCGGGGTCAGCTCGCTCCGGTCACAGCCAACCGTTAGCTGGGGCTGGCGTCGGAGCCTCGAGCCAGCCCCGGCCTGACCCGGGGCCAGCCCACTCCGGTCACAGCCAACCGTCAGCTGGGGCTGGCGTCGGAGCCTCGAGTCAAGCCCCGACCTGACCCGGGGCCAGCCCGCTCCAGTCACAGCCAACCGCCAGCTGGGGCTGGCGTCGGAGGCCTCGAGCCAGCCCCGGCCTGACCCGGGGCCAGCCCGCCTCCAGTCACAGCCAACCGTCAGCTGGGGCTGGCGTCGGAGCCTCGAGCCAGCCCCGGCCTGACCCGGGGCCAGCCCACTCCGGTCACAGCCAACCGTCAGCTGGGGCTGGCGTCGGAGCCTCGAGCCAGCCCCGGCCTGACCCGGGGCCAGCTCGCTCCAGACACAGCCAACCGCCAGCTGGGGCTGGCGTCGGAGCTTCGAGCCAGCCCCGGCCTGACCCGGGGCCAGCCCACTCCGGTCACAGCCAACCGTCAGCTGGGGCTGGCGTCGGAGCCTCGAGCCAGCCCCGGCCTGACCCGGGGCCAGCCCGCTCCAGTCACAGCCAACCGTCAGCTGGGGCTGGCGTCGGAGCCTCGAGCCAGCCCCGGCCTGACCCGGGGCCAGCCCGCTCCAGTCACAGTCAACCGTCAGCTGGGGCTGGCGTCGGAGCCTCGAGCCAGCCCCGACCTGACCCGGGGCCAGCCCGCCCAGATCACAGCCAACCGTCAGCTAGGGCTGGTGTCCGGCCCGACCCCAGGCCAGCCCCCGGCCTGACCGATGTCCGCTGAATGGATTTAAGGAGACCGTCAAGTTGTGTTCGCACCCATATTTCGAAGAGTTGAGTTTGTTTTTAGATCGCTGAAAATAATGTGAATTAGTCACTCGCCCACACGGCACGAGTTCTGTCTCCATTGGTCCACTTCATCGGCTAGGAGCGGATCAATCATAATCATGAAATAGGCTAGTGTTACCAGTAGACTTCATTGTCATTTTGCAGCAAACTAAATGGATGCCTGCTGATTCCAATAAAGGATATAATAGCTGAGCAGCAGTTTTTCAAGAGTTCAAAACTGAAACTGAAAAAGTTCGCCTATACCAGGCTCGTACGCTCAAGCATGAGCTGACGGGCAATATTGAGCACGAACACGCTGACTCAGGCCCCAAACAACAACTTCGAAAAGTGCGGATGAAGAAAAGACCTAGCGCTCGGGGAGGGCAGTACAGTGAGGTCAGTACGACAGGCGCTGTCGAGACCCACTACCACCACCCCTGCCAAACGTCCACCTTGAGAGGCTTCCGCCTAAGAGGATCAAAGCTGGCAGAAGCTGAAACTGCTCGTCCTCCGAGCCTCTAAACAGATGCGGACGTCGCGCCTGGATGGCGTTCAGAATGAGTGGCTTGTCACGCCACTGGCCGAACACCATGTATCACTACCGCGGTGGCTTGCGACCTCATGGTCAAACAATGTCAGCGTTGCCCACTCGCGGTCGGCCGCGGCCGCTGCTGACAGCACCTGAGTCAGCCGGCCCGCCGCCGCCGACCGAGCTTTGCGCCGCGTCTGGACGCGCCGCTCGCTGGCCGGCTCCGGTTTCGCTGTGAGCGATGTCGGCGCGCCCTCTCCGCCGGCGGCCGCGTCCTCTGCGCGGCCAACGTCAATAGACCACCGGTGGTGCCTGCACTGGCCGGCCCGGGCCCCGTCAATAGACCACCGGTGGCACCTGCACTGGCCGGCCCGGGCCCCGTCAATAGACCACCGGTGGCACCTGCACTGGCCGGCCCGGGCCCCGTCAATAGACCACCGGTGGCACCTGCACTGGCCGGCCCGGGCCCCGTCAATAGACCACCGGTGGCACCTGCACTGGCCAGCTCGGGCTCCGTCAATAGACCACCGGTGGCACCTGCACTGGCCGGCCCGGGCCCCGTCAATAGACCACCGGTGGCACCTGCACTGGCCCAGCTCGGCTCCGTCAATAGAACACCGGTGGCACCTGCACTAGCCGGCCCGGGCTACGTCAATAGGCCACCGGTGGCACCTGCACTGGCCGGCCCGGGCTCCGTCAATAGACCACCGGTGGCACCTGCACTGGACGGCCCGGGCTCCGTCAATAGACCACCGGTGGCACCTGCACTGGCCAGCTCGGGCTCCGTCAATAGACCACCGGTGGCACCTGCGCTGGCCAGCTCGGGCTCCGTCAAAGACCACCGGTGGCACCTGCACTGGCCGGCCCGGGCTCCGTCAATAGACCACCGGTGGCACCTGCGCTGGCCAGCTCGGGCTCCGTCAATAGACCACCAGTGGCACCTGCACTGGCCGGCCTGGGTTCCGTCAATAGAACACGGTGGCACCTGCACTGGCCAGCTGGGCTCCGTCAATAGACCACCGGTGGCACCTGCGCTGACCAGCTCGGGCTCCGTCAATAGACCACCGGTGGCACCTGCACTGGCCGGCCCGGGCCCCGTCAATAGACCACCGGTGGCACCTGCACTGGACGGCCGGGCTCCGTCAATAGACCACCGGTGGCACCTGCACTGGCCGGCTCAGACTCCGTCAATAGAACACCGGTGGCACCTGCACTGGCCGGCCGGGCCCCGTCAATAGACCACCGGTGGCACCTGCACTGGCCGGCCGGGACTCCGTCAATAGACCACCGGTGGCACCTGCACTGGCCGGCCTGGGCTCCGTCAATAGACCACCGGTGGCACCTGCACTGGACGGCCCGGGCTCCGTTGGAAACACAAGCAGTCGGACGTCACAATATAGCCGATGAGGGCGCCGCTGACGGCGGCCAACGCAACGTCCTGCAGCCTGGCGGGCGCCACTGACGGCGGCCCCTGCCAATGGTGGAAGTCCGGAAGGCTTCCCGAGCGTACACTTGGCTGCTCCTGCCGGGCATTTCATCTAGCTGTCAGCGCACATTTAAACTGTCAGCGGTCCGTTGGCCGGACGAAATTCGAAGACAGATTTCGTCTACATATCAGATCAAATCAGATCGGCGATATGTGGATAGATAGTATCGTCCTCGGCTGCGGCTCACGTCAAGCAAGCATGTGCTCAGATAGCAGCGGTGCCTCACCTTCTAGCAGCCATAGGTAGCAATGTGACCCCATCTTCGACAGCATCGAGGCTCACAAAACCAGTCTGACCCATGATTTAATTTTCACTACGTGGCGCATTTATGAACTTTGCGGCGCAAACCAGAAGCTGGTAACAATATTCATGCGTCGGGTGGAATACAGATTTGTAGTTTCGATTTTGTAGGGTTCAGTTCTGCGCAACACCAAATGGCAGGTGACACAAACACGTCGAATAATGAGAACACAATTACGTGGTCACAATGCTCACGGGATTGGGCGAAACGAGCGTTTTCCAAACGACAGCCACATAGTTACCTGCCCGGCAAGGAAATGTAGGAATTTCCCAAGCAGCCTCGTCTCTTGTGCAAGAAAAGATTTCGAAACGGTAGGAAACCTGGTACATGTACGTAAAAGCTACGCATAGCTTCTATCATAGCATTCTGGATCACAGCCTTCAAACCGTGCCGCGGGTGTTAAAAGCCTGTTGGTTCCGAAGTTGTGAAAAAGGACAGGTTCTTGGCGATCAAGGAAGACATTCCGGAGCATGTCCCTGCCTTGTCAAAACAAAACAGAGGCGAAGTGAACACATTCACACGCGTCATTTCCGAATCACTCGCACTACGGCAGGCGCTGCTGAGGGCTGGCCTATCCACGGCTGGCCGCCAGGTGGCGCCGGCCAGCCAGGGGTGCGGCTCAGCCCGAGCCTCTCTGCGCCGCTCAGCCGATCACAGCGACTGATTGCATTCGCAGGGTGCGGCAGTGGTCTCCTTATACGGACAAACCGCCGGCGCGAGCCTGGCCTGTCGGGGCACATCTCTGCAGCACCGGCGACATAACGGCCCGGAGCTGCAGTTGGGACGCAGTACGGGCCGCGTACCCTCCGTGTTCGAGGAATGACGTTTTATATTGATGTTGTCTTTCTCAAGAGCGAATTTTGTCAGGTCCTTTTATCACAGTTTTAGAGCATAATAGACATCCGTCCATCATGCATGCATCCGTATCCGTGTGAGGCAAAAACTGTTTCGTCTAGCGGATGCAAGCCTGATTTGCGGTTCGTTCAATTTACTGGATGCTAACTGCAAATTGCAAAATGGAAGCTCCCGCAAGAGAGTCTGTGCAGGAGCGTCTGCGTCTATTAACGTGTGCGTCTATTAACAAAGCTGAGCCCTCTGTGTCCATCAACTCAAAAAGCCGAACTGTCTATTAGCATCCTCTCACCAAGTCCACCATGATTGCACTGAAAACGACCCCAAACAACACAAACAGCCTCCAGTTACTTACCGTGCGCCAGGTCTTTGTTGTGTCTGGCGAAAGCGCGGGAAAACACGCCGCCTCCGACCGGTGGCGGAGCCACCAGCGGTACCGCAGTGCGGCCAGGGTACGCGGCGCCGCCGCCGGCCCGGCCTTGGTACCGGGCGCGACTCCTAGCTCGCGCTGGCGACGATGCGCCGCCGCTGGCAGCAGGCACTGCGGCGCCGGAGGGTCCGGTGCACGACCTGGCGAGGTTCGAAGGAGCAGCGCCACCCCCAGCACTCGTCGAGACATCAGCACTACTCCCAGCTCTGGTCGAGGCATCAGCACCGCCCCCAGCGTTTGAGGTGGAGGCATCAGCACCGTCCCCAGCGCTTGAGATGGAGGCATCAGCACCACCCCCAGCGTTTGAGGGGGAGGCATCAGCACCACCCCCAGCGTTGGAGGTGGAGGCATCAGCACCGGCCCCAGCACTTGCCGTCAAGGCATCAGCACTACTCACAGCACTTGTCGAGGCAACAGCACTACTCCCAGCACACAAAGGGACATCAGCGCCACTCCCAACACGTGCGCAGGCCTCCGTGCGGCCGTCGGCACCGGAGAGCTTGGCGTGGCTCCCGCCGTTATCAGCAGCGGAGAGCTTGGCTTGGCTTCTGCCGTCGGCGAGCGTGGCAAGACTCTCGACTCCGTCGCAAAGCGCAGCCCGGGAACTTCCCGACGGATCAACGTGCCCTGCGTCACCCCCAGGACCATCAGGAACCGCGGCGCAGCCCCCGACGCGCAGGCAGAGTGCAGCATCGCTTCCAGCGGTGACGCACGATGCTGAGGCGTCGGCACGGAGACCGGCGGACGTCTCCATAGCTGGCGGCGGCGACGGCGTCCCGCGCCGCTTCGTCCCCACCCGGCCACGGGCAGCGCACGTCGGCTGGCCGGCCGTGCCGACGTGAATGGTAGCGGTATCACGCGCGTCGTCAGCTGATGGAATCAGGCGTTTCCAAGCCCTAGCTAGTTAGTCTTCGGTGTCCTGACACTGTATCACGACCGCACGAGGTCTGCTTGGTGACCACTTGCCCACGACAGGTCTTCCTCAGGCTGGTTTCAGTCAGCGTTCCGCGGGATAGCGCGGTGGTGGAGGCGGTGCTCCTGCAGGGGTTCCAACAATGACGATTGTGCTGCATTCAGAGGAGTCCTTTCTCAAGTTCAAGAACCTCTCGCAGGTGAGCGGAGCAAACGGTGCTTTAGACAAAGCAAAAGTATCGCATGCAGTGCTGGAGGACTGGGGCACTTGATGGTGCAGGGAGATAATGTACAAGGCTCCGGGGATGCTGCCCATGTCCGATGCGGGTCAGCGGATGCTGAGTGATCCGGCAACGCTCCATTACACTCTCGTCCAGATTAATTTGCACACGGGTTCACTCGGCCACGAAGAATGGCATCTCACATGGAACGAATAGGGCCATGTTATTAAATCTGCGCGGGCCGGGGGAAATTACTGACGAGCTTTTCCTGCTGGGCCTTCAAATCGGTTTCTTTACAAGAAGTGATCTCCATATGAAATGTGCGACAGTTTTACTTCATACGCGAATGATACCGCACGACGCGGCCTAAGTATTTGCCGTTTCAGGTCATGATCAGATGCATTGTTACAGGAGCGGCGGCAATACCCGCTTGACCAAATGTTCAGCGATGATGTCAGGAGAACCATGCACTCAATGGCTGGGCGATCCAAGCGTAGCGAATGCCAACGGTGTTTCGGTGTCAAAACAATGTTTATGTTACATGACAATCCTTTGCAAAATGCATGGGGCCCCATGCTTTAAAGAAGCACAGAAGTCGCCATGGTTCATAGATAGCGCGATGTACCCATAAAGAACGGATCGTACATCCCATGCTACAGCTGCGACTCTGTTGTCGTTGCAGCTATCTAGCATGCTTGTCAAAACTCGCGCCGCTCATGACCGATATAAATACACACTACATCCAGCGATTGCAAGCTCTACTCAAAGACGCAAACGTCTATCGGACAGCCCGGGGATGTCCCCTTCCTGTGCCGCAGGTTTCCTGTCCTCTGGTCGCCTCCTCCTCCCATAGTTAGAGCGAGGGCGCCCGGACGCTGCCAGCGTACGTCTGGTGCACACCAGCCGGCCTGGTGCACACATGGTCTATGTAGACGTGTCGGGCGGCAGGCACATGGTGCCGGCACGCAGGCGCGCTGGCGATGGTGGTGACAACACGGGCGGGGCGAGCGGTGCCCGCGCTATACCACGCACACGTCACACGGTGATCGGTGATGGGGATGTCAGATATGTCCCACCAACACATGATGCAAGAAAGAGGAGCCATGATGGTGGCGGAAGCGCCCGCTGTCTGGCTGACCATCCCTGGCACTGGCTAGCACTAGCAAAGTGTAGGCCTTCAGCTTCATTGTAAGTCTAACCAGTCGACAGACACGATAGCAGGGCCCACCGCCTCGCCTGCAGCCCGTCAGCGTTAGCGCTGTAGCTCGCGTTCACCTACTGTTGTCATGAATTTGGCGGCGTGGTCTGGAATTCCTGACGTGCAAACATGTGATGATTATTAGGATGACTAGCTAACCATCATCATCTTTTTTGTCTTCTGTGGTTTTTGAATGCTCATTAACGGGAAGCTCGAGAATTGTCAGGGCTGCTAAATGCACGTCTATCTACATTTATCTGAACGCTGGCGTGAGCAAAGCCTGCGCACAATCTGATACTGAGCGGCCAGAGCCAGCGCACACCTACCGCCACATGGACGTCCTAGGGCGCTCACAATTCCTGGTGATCTCCGGTGATCTCTTGTGGGGCGACTGTTTCGCGCCGAGATCGGGCTATTGGAGCTCGTGCACCCAATCGGGACAAGAGCCGTCCCTCGCGGCCCAGTCGGGCATGAGTTGTCCCCTCGCGACCCAGTCAGGCATGAGCTGCCCCCTCGCGGCTCAGTCGGGCATGAGCTGTCCCCTCGCGACCCAGTCGGGCATGAACTGTCCCCTCGCGACCCTAGTCAGGCATGAACTGTCCCCCCGCGACACAGTCATGCATGAGCTGTCCCCTCGCGGCTCAGTCGGGCATGAGCTGTCCCCTCGCGACCCAGTCGGGCATGAGCTGTCCCCTCGCGAGCCAGTCAGGCATGAGCTGCCCCCTTGCGGCTCATTCAGGCATGAGCTGTCCCTCGTGATCCAGTCCGGCATGAGCTGTCCTCCTCGCGGCCCACTACGGCATGAGCTGTCCTCCTCTCGGCCCTGCCACGGATGAGCTGTTCCCCTCGCGGCCTAGCCAGGGATGGATTTAGCCGTCCGTGGGAAGTGATCACAGTCGTGAAACGTTCTGGCGGCGGCGTGGTGTATATTATGTAAATAGACCGTATTGACCCATGCACTCCTAAGCCGCCTAAATCACCGAGGCACGTCTGAGGACCACCAGGGGTGCCCGAGACGCCTCACAGGGTGCTTGTGAATGGGCACGTTCCATTTGGCCGCTGTTCCAGCTAACGACATACCCGACAATGGTCTAGCTTGGGGGCGACGGGCGCTGTCCGCTAAGGCCCAGGTCACATAGCCAGGAATGGACGCTCCCTCGACTGTGCATGAGTGGGAAGGGAGGGGGGGGGGGGGGGCGGCGAACTGATTTGCTGCTCAGAGCTCTAAGTGTATGTCCACTCCCTTAACTTTGAACATGCAGCGGATCAATTTGGAAGTGCCCTCTGACTTGGGGGGGGGGGGGGGGCGGCTGGGTGGGTGGATGAGGTCGGTTTTGGAGGGAAAAGTTTGATTACACAGCGATCACTCAGCCCCTGAGCTGATTTACAAAACTTGAGCCAAATACCCGCACCGCTACAGCCAAGCCCAGTCTGCAAGCTAGTGACGCCATAGTCCCGGGTGAGTCGAGGCGGCAGTCCGGGCCTGAGTCTGGCCGAAGCAAGACGGCAGTCGGGGCCTGAGTCTGGCCAAGGCGAGGCGGCAGGCGGGGCCTGAGTCTGGCCGAGGCGAGGCGGCAGGCGAGGCCTGAGTCTGGCCGAGGTGAGACGGCAGTCGGGCCTGAGTCTGGCCGAGGTGAGACGGCAGTCGGGCCTCAGTTTGGCCGAGGCCAGACGACAGTCGGGCCCCAGTCTGGTCGAGGTGAGACGGCAGTCGGAGCCCCAGTCTGACCGGCTGGCGACGGTCGGAGGAGCGCGCGACGCGTGCGCTGAATACGGATCGAACGAGAACAGGATCCTGTCGGGCTGAGTCGGCCAGGTGGTCCCCGCAGGCTCAGCGGCATACCAGCCGCCAGGCGGGGCGGAGACACGCGGCGCACGCGTTTAGGGACACCTGGAAGATTGCCTTCACGAGGAGCTAAATTTCATGAGGAGTAGCACAATCCCCCCCCCCCCCCCTACCACCAGCATGGCATGCAACCGAAACTTAACCGAACCAGAGTTAAGTGCACTATCAACTCAAAAGGGACAGCAGGCGCCCCAGTCACCTAACCCCTATTTAAATGGGGGTCTGTGCGTGTGCCACTACCACCATACGTGTGTACGGGAGTCACCAGTAATGTGTTTCGAAACAGTAAGCTGTCACTTACATATATGACCTATGAGTTAGGAGATTAGACCCGCAACAGCAATTTGCATCTTTTCCTCTAACGCGTAAAGAAGCCACACGCTATGAAACGTCTGATGGGCATTCGTGAAACAGAGCATCGCATCTATCAATACCAAGGCACGTCCCTCACTATCGTCGTAAGCTATCGCAGCTTGCTTATGAAACTGATCGCCCTCCTCGCAGAGCTCGATTTGACCAACCATCGGGTATTAACTCGAAACCACAACCAGACCTGCATTCGCGGATAGTAAATCCGTCCAGGAACGACCACAAAGGCGAGGGCAGAGTTGGCAAATCTGACAGCGACTGGATGGGAGTCAGGGCGGTGCACCAGCAAATCCCCCGCCCACAGACTGTTTACTAGATACGTCTGGCGGTATCTGGTGCACGGGTGGGTCTGCCGGACGCTGATCTGGACACGTGTGTGCCTCCAGCTCCATGGCTGTCTTGTGCGCTTGTCCACTGTCACACGGTCGGCTGCACGCCCTTAAACTGCCTCAACAAGCTTGACATGACGACTTTGGCTCTCCTGGTGACATGACACCGAGAGCCTGCATAACTCGAAACTGTCGCTGCACCGGCCAAAGTTCCCATGACTTGTTCTGACATTTGTCTGCAAATTGCGCGCCGTTTTATATGCCATGAAAACAATGCGACAACTTCAGCTGATGACGGGACAATTAGGGACGACTGAGCTTTGACGCAGATACTTGCTGCTATGCCTTGACGGTTCGCACGCGATTTTGCATTTCCCAAAACAGCTCTTAGCCGAGATGCAGCCGCCGCTGGCTCCGAAGCATACAGCATAGAAGAGTACATTCGCGGATCAGATCAGCTGATTGGACGCCTGCCCGGGGTATTATCGACCCAGCACAGCTGCTGTGCCTGCTCAGGTGCTGTCGTGGAAAGCGCGCGTGGCTCATTGCTGCCCCTTTACTGGTCTGCCAAGGCCGACCACCACTTCGAAACAAATTCCCCGACTCGCACACTGATTCGCTGCGGTCGCCAGCTCTGAGCCATTACGGGAATCTTTGAGGCATTCGTTTGGCACTGTCCGCGTCCTCGAAAGCGAACGAAGCGAGCTGACGCATTCAAATAAGTGAACGGGGCGGCGGCAGATGAAGGGTCCGTTTCAGGAGGAAAATGGACCGTGCCCACTCGTTTGTCTTAGGGCCCAAAGTCTGGCGGTAACGTATACCCCGGGCAGGCTTAACGACCTGTCATGGAGAACGTGTGCAACGGGGGCATTATTGAACTCGTGACGAATGGTTCCCCGCATGACGGTGACTTCCATGCGTTGTCGCCAAGCCTCGTCTCTAGATATTCTTAGTTGTCAGGTTATTGCCCTGATCCGCGGAGCATCTACGCGGATCGCATCCGTCTTACTATTAAGTAAGGCAAGGATGCCTAATGGCATTAGGTGCCGGATATTATTATGGCGCTCGCTCCGATACGTTAACGGGCCGCTCCTATGCGTTATGGGGCCGCTCCGATATGTTATAGGGCTGTTCCCATGCGTTATGGGGCCACTTCTTTGCGTTATTGGGCCGCTCCGATGCGTTGTGGGGCCGTTCAGATGCGCCATTAGGCCGCTTCGACGTGTTATGGGTCGCTCCGATGCGTTAGAGCGCCGCTCCGATACATTATGGGGCCGCTCCGATGCATTATGGGGCCGCTCCGATGTGCTCTGCAGCCGCTCCAATGTGTTTTGGGGCATTCCGATCTGAACGCTTGCATGCAAATAATGTCAGTGATTACCGATTAGTTCGTGACGTTACGTCTCAAAATCCGCATTACGAATGACGTAACCTCGGAGAGATTA